GATAATACGATTCATAATTACAAGCTCACCGAGACTGTTGATGATATCGGTGCGAACGAGTGGGATCAGTATATTTTTACGGTTCGGCGCAAGTTTGACTGGGAGAACAAGTACATGGAAACTGTCGTCGATATCAAGAGCAAACACTTGCGGGACGCTCTGGCTAAGGTCATGGACGGTGTCAAGGGCGTGAGCTTGGTACAGGAAACTGCCGTTGTCGATCCAAATATGCTATTCCTGTACCTTGAGGAGACCCGGGCATACATGAAGGAGCTGAAGCAGCAGGCCAAGAAAGAAACGAAGAAAAAGGCCAGGAAGCTGGCGAATCTCAAAGCAGCGCAACTCAAGGTGCTCATCAAGTATCTGGACACTGACTACGCAGACACGAAAAAGACTCTGTATCCTTTGCTGGAAGCGAACATGATCACCTTCGACCTGCTGTGGGCACTATACAAGCCGAACACCATCGCCTATACATCGACTTACGGCAACCAGGACGAGCCACGTGCCTTCAAGATTGAATACGCCACCAAAGAATCCTCTTTCATGAAAGGTCAATGGTACAGCATTGAAGGTCGCTACTTGGAGTACGACGGCAAGTCGTTTGGCATGGGAACAATGGCCGCTGATGTGGAATTCTTCAAGGGCGTTCGCAAAATCACGAGCCTCGGTTGCTATCCACTCAAGTACCACAGGGAGGCTGAAGAGGTCAAGGCCAAGCTGATCGAGCGCGGCAAGAAATTTGTGGCGCTTGGGGGTATGAATTACCGCTTCCACAAGGGAATGGCCTTCTACAAGAAAAAGCGGACAGTCATCAAAGTCAATATCAATGGCCGAGTCATGATTGACCCCGCGATCCATCGTCGCATCAACCCCAACTATCCAATCAGTACTGTTCGTCCCAAGGACCCTGATATTCTAGATGCATCAGATGACGATGCGAGCGATGACGGATGCAAATGCGGGATGTCTGATTCGGATGTCGATCAGCAACAACACGAGAGTCGAGATTCTGATAACCCCAAAATTGTGTACAAGGTCGTGCAAGACAAAGACGGCAGACCTCGTGTCGTGGAAGTGGAGGTCGATGAGAATGGGAATGTGATCCAAAAAGAGAAGATGGACGAAGTGCAGGACCCCTCTGACCGTGAGTTCACTGAAGAGGAATTGCTCATTGCAAGTCCTGTCGTCCTGGGTTTTGCCTTCAGTGAGAAGTTGTGGCTGGAGTTCAGCATCTCTGGAATCAGCGACATCGACTGGAACGAGGACGCGTTTGACTCTCTTGTCCTTCCGGACAATCAAAAGTCGATCGTAAAGGCCCTTGTGGAGTCGCACACTTTCCGCGCCGCGCAGAATATCGACGATGTCATTCAGGGCAAGGGCAAAGGACTTGTCGCAGTGCTCCATGGACCACCCGGCACAGGCAAGACGCTGACTGCCGAAGGTATCGCCGAGTTGCTAAAACGGCCTCTGTACATGGTCAGCGCCGGAGAACTCGGAACAGACTCAAGGACTCTGGAAGCGGAACTCAACAAGATTTTGGATATCGCGCACTCATGGGGCGCAGTCCTTCTGCTGGATGAGGCCGACATTTTCCTTGAGAAGCGCACAATCCAGGACATCCACCGCAACGCACTTGTGAGCATCTTCCTCCGGCTCCTTGAATACTTCCAAGGCATTCTCTTCTTGACCACCAACCGCGTGGAAACCTTTGATGACGCGTTCCAATCTCGAATCCATGTCGCACTGCGATACGGAGACCTTACCACCAAAGCAAAGAGGAGCGTCTGGAAGATGTTCCTGGAAAAGGTCCAGGCGAAAGAGGGCGTGCAGACTGCAATATTCACGGACAAGGACTTTGATGCGCTGGCACGCCACAATCTGAATGGACGCCAGGTAAGTAATCTTCTCCAAGCACATATCCACTGTTGCTAACACTCTTTCTAGATTAAGAACTCTGTCCGCACGGCTCAAGCGCTTGCAGTTAACGAACAGACTCCCTTGTCGATGGAACACATCAAACGTGTCCTTGAAGTCGCTGAGACTTTCGACCATGACCTTCGCGGCGGGACAGGCTACATGGACGCCATGCGAAGCTATACGTAACGCGACAATTCGCTTCGAATTCACTACGCTGATGAATTTCCCTCTCTAATTTCCCTCTCTACTTGCTTCTCTATTTGCTTCTCCGCGATACTGTCGTTTAGGAATACCCTTGCTTTTGCTCCAGAGACAGTTGCTGATCATTTCGGTTTGATTTTATCTAGCTCAAGCGCCGTTTGATCATTCTCGCTTTTGTGTTTGTTTTTCTGCTGTGCAGTTTATGATACGGCCGAGATCGGCGAATGATACGTAAAGTTATTCGCCCAAGGAAGGAAATATTCCTGATACTGAGAAAAGCTAGCGAGACTTGAAGGCGAATTTTTCTAGGCCATTTGTCTTGCTCAGGGATACTATATGTCAAATGGATACGAGCGAAGAACGAATTCAGGAACAAATTGAAACTTTCATTTATAGGAAATACATGCCATCTGCTTTTCCCATTAAGTTCTCGCCAGTCATCAAATCCTCGTCAAGGGAAGAGAAATGCTTCAAACTCTGCAGCCGCATTCATCCGGTATCAAAGTCGATGCGGGATGCGAAGCATATAGAAAAGGCGGGAATAATAGGCTAATGACAAAGTACACAAGTGACTGTTATACAGGGGAGAACGTAGCTGCAGAATAATTCACACTTAATTGAGAAAGACATTTAAGGGTTCTGAGCGACGAAGTCACGTCCCTTCTGAATGTTCTTCTTGAGATCAGTGAGAGCAGCCTGGATGAGCTTCTCTTCGTAAGCGTTGACCTTGCCAACCTCAAGGATCTTCTCAACACCGTTGGGGCCGAGCTCGACACGGGAGGCGAAGAAGTCAACACCCTGGTCCTTGTAGAGAGGGCTCTCAACGAAGGTGGGCTCGATGACACCCTTCTCGCCCTGAGCAGCCTTCAGCAGGGACTCGGCGAAGCGAGCACCGGCCATGGCCATGGAGAGGGTAGCGGAACCAGCACCGTCCTTGGCCTTGACGACCTCATCACCACCGAACTGGATGCGGTTGACGAGCGCATCGCGGGTCTCGCCCTCAATATCGGGGTGGTTGGACTGGGAGAGCAGGGGAACGATGGTGACACCGGAGTGGCCACCGACAACGGGGACGGCCTCGTTGGCGGGGTCGGTCTTCTTAATCTGGGAGATGAAGCGGGAGGCACGGACGACATCGAGGGTGGTGACACCGAAGAGACGCTTGGGGTTGTAGACACCCTTGGACTTGAACACCTCAGCGACAATGGGGACGGTAGAGTTAACCTGCCGTGACATTAGTGCTGCTGATCTAGATATGATTGCTTTGGATACGTACGGGGTTGGAGATGACCAAGATGTTGGCCTCGGGGGAAGCCTCAGCAGCAGCCTTGGCAAGGTCACGGACAATAGAGGCGTTGGTGTTGAAGAGGTCTGCCAATGGCTGCGTCAGTAATTGTGCTCGCATAGAAAAGGCAAATCAACATACCGTCACGGGTCATGCCGGGCTTGCGAGGAACACCGGCAGGGATGAGGACGATCTCAGAGCCCTTGAGAGCATCGCGGAGGCCAGAGGGAGTAGGGTCGTAGCCACTGACGGTGCTGTTGGTGTTGATGTGGCTCAGATCAGCAGCAACACCTGTCAAAAAGATCGTCGAGTCAGTATACTCGAATATTGGAAGTTTGGCAATGCAAGTTTCGGATGTCCGGAGACGTACCAGGGCCACCGCGGATATCATAGAGAGCAAGCTCAGAAACACGGGGGTTGAGCTTGAGCAGGAGAGAGAGAGGCTGGCCAATGCCACCGGCGGCACCGAGGACAGCGACCTTGGAGGCCTAAAAATGAAAATGGACATGGTTAGCACATTGGCAAAGCTCCGAAGTACCGAGCCGAGAGATGGAAGCACCGGTATACATACCTGGCTGGCAGAGGCAGAGAAGGCCCGCTTCTGGAGGAGGTTGAAGGACTGACGAGCGGCGAACATTTTGTCTATGATCCGAAGACGAAAATTGATCTAACCTCGAAAGAAAATGAATTGAGTAGAGAGAAGGATGGAGATGATCTGGATGGGAAAGAGAGGGAAGAAAGAAAAGGAAGGAGGAAGAGGTGACGGTTGCCGGTGAGAAGGATTTGGGGCGGCTAATTCGCTCCGTTTCCGATCATCCCCACAGCGTGTTGCGGAACTTCTTCGTGCGTCACATGGAGATTCAACTAAATGCCTTGAATTATCTGGGGAACAGTTGTTGCTCTCTGTGATAGCTGTCTCTATACGATAAAAGGACCTCTGTGGCAGATACGGTTTTTGCTAACTTATTGTTGCCCTCTCATTGACTAACCTCAACCTGATCGTCTGTTTACTTGGTCTGTTGTGTGGGCTATTTATCCGTTCTCTGCAGAACCTAAACAGCTGACCAAATCTACTGGTACCGGTTTCCCTCAAACAAGTCCTGTGTGATCAATTGCAGGCAACCATGATTGATTATCCATTCAAACGACTTACTAGATACCTCAGTCTCTCCTCCGGTAGCATAGCACCAGGAGGAAAGAATTACCTGTCTAAGGTCAGAAAGCCGAGACCAGTCACATTGCAATGCGAACTGGAGATTGGCCCGCCATCAGCGGTCTGGAGGAACTCAACTGCATGCTCCCTTACGCTCTTCCCATCCCTTCGTACCCTACTAGTTAGTGCAATCGCAGTTCTATTGCGCGTCCTCTGTGCGGAAGAAAATGCTTAATATCCCTTGTACGTCATTCTTGACGGTGAACTGACTCCAGATAAACTCAAGAACTTGAGATCAGCTGCGCGCAAACCGACAAATATAAATGGGAAGCAAACAATATCAAGGAAGACCAGAACGCCTGCGCTTTCAAAGCCACCCGAAGCAAAAATGCATGACGCAGGAGAAACAGTCCCAAAAATGAGTATATAGACACAAAAAATTCACCTCAGAAAGTGTATTACCAACCAGCAAAAGAGGAAGAAAACGAGAACACCACCCCAAAATATCCACTTGTCCTGCTTTGCTCTTCGTTCGACCCTTCGAATCGTGTCTCCACTCACCCCCAAGGTATTCGCAACACTGTATAGCCGGCGCTGCGTGCCTTTCAGCACCTCGCGTTGTTGCCCAAGGTCTGCCAGAACAGCGCGGCCTCGATCAAGAAATTCATCAAGTTGCGAGTTCGTGTTGGCAAAGAAGGATTGCTCTCGGAGCGCATGCGTCTCCCTGTTGTAATCCGCCGGTGATGCTCCAAAGCTGAGACCTGAGCGGGATGATGAAGGGTTTGCGAAAGGCGAAGATTGCGGGAGGGACGGTTGCGCGTACGGGTTCTCGGGAGTCGCAGCGTGGTGTGGTCGTCGGCCCAGCAGCTCGTTGCGATTTGTCACGGATTGCTATCCACCAGTGCACAATAGTTAGCGATTGCTAGGACTCATGTACAAAGAGGAGGTGCTCGACTAGGAAGCGCTTACAGCTTCTTCCCGCTCCTTTCGGAGTTGATCAAAGTGTGTCCTGTAATCCGCAAGCTCAGCGCGAAAGTTCTTGACTCTTTCAAACGCCTTTTCTTGCTTCTCAGGTATCAGTTCCTTCTTGGACAAGGCGGAGTAGTCATCGATAGTCCGTGATAGCGACGCCAAGGAAGCTGCAATCTGGCCTAATTACCCGCGCATTAGCAACCCACATAGAATAATAAAGGAAACCCTCAGCGTTGAACTTTAGCCGTGTACCGGATCTGGCGTGGGAGCGCGTGTCCTCGAGCCGTACCTTGTAAAGCTGCAGATGTTGTTGCGGGGGACTGAGAGAATGTGTCCAGATCGCGGCGGATAGCAGAAGACTGCTTGAGTGCTGAATTGAAAAGGGAGTTCTATCATCAAGTAGGGAAGTCATATGTCAGTCATCAAACAATGCGCTTCGATTAATGGCCATGGTGGGATTCACACACCATATTTGCTTTTGCAGGAGCTACCGAAGAGAGCTGTTTGTTTGTGTATGGTTTCACGGGTAGAACAGGGTATGTTCCATATGATCGGGCAAAACGACGCAATGCTCTCCAGACGTACGTTCGAAATTAAAGTCAACAGGAGCCGTTAATCGGTGTCGACAAAGAAGTTATAGCTCAAGGTACCCGCCCAGCGATAATCGTGGAAGGCCAAGGCCACATGTTCTTACGGCGGATGCGAATTTGACGCCGTTGACCGCCTCTGACATATGAGCTGCCACTACTTGAAAGGTGGGCACTTGATCACTAGTCACCATCTACACCTTGCAACTATCAGGCAATGTCAATTCTCGCTTATAATGCAATGGGGATTTTCACAGTGGCTTTATTACTATACCACTTCTATCCACTTTGTTGCTGAATGTGCCAAACCCATTAGAAACAGCTAAAGGATATACATCAGGTGTGACTTCAACTTGAGAGATGAGTGGGTTGAATATCTTCGAATAAGTTACAACATGACAAGAAAAGAATCACCAACTCCATTTCCCCTGGAATTCATGTAAAACCGCTTGGTTCACCCAATCATAACTCCAAATGTGGAAATGAACTCAAGAAGCACAGGGCCCCTGCTCATATCATAGCCAGTGTGGTTCAAACCTAGTTAGGAGGGTACTTGTTTTGTAGCAGCCACCTAAATTCCATTGCATTAGCCCAAAATGTCCTCTGTGCTTTCCCCGTCGCAGGATGCCGGAGTTCAGAAGAAAGCTGGAAACTCACTTGCTGACAAAGTAATCGACCGTACTGAAGGCTCCAACGATCCCAGTCCATGTTCCAACAAGCTTCCACGACAGCTTGCCTTCGGCATGCTTCCTGTATGCGCCATAACCGAGCGCAGCACCGACCAGCGCGTACAGCACGGCATTTCCGAGGAAGACAGGGTTGCGCTTGGCGACATGGCCGGCGCGTTTAGCCTTCGCTTTCGCCTTCTGCGCCTTTTCCTGCTCTTTCCGCTCCTCTTTCTCCTGTGCCTCTCTTTCTAAGCGATCAGCCTGGGTAGTGGTCTTCACTTCCTGGTTGAGGAAATCCKGGTCCACTGAAACAACATGCGGGGAGTCAACGTCAACCAGGGAGGCTGTGCTCTCCCCTGTTTCACTCAGATATGTTCGTGGTGGGTTAGGGGCGCGACTGTGGTGTGAAGAGTCAGTCAGTAGCCCTCAGGAACTTGGCAAATTGCAAAATAACAACTTACGCCTACATCAGAGTCGGTCAGTCAGATCGTCTTTCGAGATATAGCATCCTCATGGGAAGCAGGAGAAACTGTGGGTAGGACACATACCTCCTCTGGTGATTGCTTAGGGCCTTTGGCCGCGGCTTCCGCGTAAGACATGTTTGCAGGATTCCTGTGGTACAAACGGCTGGGGGTGATGGAGAAAAGATCTATTACCAGTCAGTGCTCCGTATTAGAGGTCGTAATGGTGAAGAACTGGCAGCATGTCGCGGAGCGGCTGCTCCAAGGTCGCCCACGTAATATGGTACAACATCACTTACAGGAAATAAGGTGATATTGAGATATTCGGAGATTGAAGTTAGGAAGTAATGGTGTGGGACACTGGAAAGAGAATTTGGGCAGGTGATGACTGCCTCTATTTATGCAGAATGCAAGGGCCCCTAGCATTGGCTCACAAGTATGACATCACTCCCTTAGCGGGAGTGGGCACCGCGCACATGGTTCATGATAAACGCTGCCAAGGCACATGAATCGGCCCATCACCTGTTTAGATAACCCCCAATCCAATTTTGTCAGTTCAAATCTCCTTCGTCCTATAATGTTTACCAAGTTGCCTGGAAGTTCGAAGTAAAGCGGAAATCTGTCTTCGCGGGCGGCTTGGTCAGTCTGCGGTTGTCGCGTCAACTGACCTGGCGCAATTTCCCTCTAGTGACAGCGAAGGTTGCAGCAGTCCTGGTCGATCTCGTTATCGATGGGTGCGAGGGGTCAACCCGCACCGTGAGCCATCCTCAGATTATTCCAAAAACGCAGCATCGCCAATCTGGACTAGAACCATACCTTAACGAGTTTTGAATCGTCTTATTCATTGTTGTTCTACACGATAGGAGTAGGCCAGTATGTGGGTTAAAAGTTTCTGAAGTAGCAAAAGGAATCAATATTGAAATGCTGGAATCGTACTCAAGTGACCAGAAATGGTCAGAATCAACTATAGTAGGTATTTTTGGATACATATTACATGAGACCATAAAAGAACTCCGATCTCAAATGTTACATTTGGTATTTCGGAATTTCGATTGGTCGAACTTCGTTCACAGAAGAAGCTCAAGGGGGTTCTCAACGATCTTCTTCAGTTCCTTGATCCATTCGGCACCAACAGCACCATCGACAACCTTGTGGTCGAAGCTGCCTGTCACGATAATCTGGTCATCCCACTCAACAGAGGTACCCTCCTCAGTCTCAACGGGAACAGCAACCTTGCGGGTGGTGCCGACGGCCAAAATACCAGCCTGAGGGGGGTTGATGACAGCGGTGAACCGCTCAATAGCAGGGTTCATGCCCATGTTGCTGATGGTAAAAGTGCCGCCCTGGTACTCCTCGGGCTTGAGCTTGTTCTCCCGAGCGCGCTTACCGAGGTCCTTGATCTGGTTAGAGATGTTGGAAAGGCCAAGACCCTGCACGTTCTTGACAACGGGAGTAATAAGACCATTCGGAGTGGCAACGGCAACACTAATATCAACGGTGTTGTGCTGGCGGATGACAACCTGGCCGTTATCCTCGCGCCAGCTCGAGTTGACGGCAGGAACCTTCTGAAGAGCGGCAGCACAAGCCTTGACAAGGAAGTCGTTGACGGAGAGCTTATATTTGCCCTCAGCAGATGCGTTGAGGGCCTGGCGGAGCTTCAGGAGCTTCGTAACGGACAGAGTGGTCGAAACGAAGAAGTGAGGGTTCTCTCTCATCGACTGCTGCAGGCGGGTAGCAATGGTCTTGCGCATAGATGTGAGAGGGATGTCTTCATATGTAGGGGCGGTGGCGGCGGAAACGCTAGGCTTGTACTTCTCCACATCTTCCTTGGTGATCTGACCACCACGTCCAGTACCCTTGAGAGCCTTGATTGGAACACCCTTCTCCAGGGCCAATGCCATGGCAGCAGGGCTGATGTTGGGCTCACGGTCAAGACTAGGCTGGAGCTTCTCAGTAGATGTCTCAGGCTCCTGAGCGGCGGGTGCAGGCTCGGGTGTCGAGGGGGCTGGTGCAGCCTCAGCCTTGGGCTCCTCCTTGCTCTCCTTGGCGGGAGCAGCTCCCTTATCACCACCGGCGTCTTCCAGAGTAAAGCTCTCAAAGGGGGCGACATCTGTTCCCTCCTCCACAAGAACGGCGATAGGCTGGTTTTGCGCATTAGCAATCAACGGGGCTCAGTGGACCACGGAAAATTTTTCAGTCAATACATACAGTGCCGACAGCCACATCCTTCTCACCAGTCTCCTTCAGAACCTTGGCTAAGACACCCTCCTCTTGGAATTCAAAGTCCATCTGTGCCTTATCGGTCTCGATTTCCACGAGGACATCACCCGGCGACAGGGAGTCACCGGCCTTCTTCTGCCAAGCTCCAATGTTCCCTGCGGACATTGTGGGCGAGAGGGCAGGCATGCTGATGATGGTGTGAGGGGGGAAGGCTGTAGAGGCGCATAGTTAGGGTCAAGTCATCAGTACGCAAACGTGATGGAGACGAGGGAAAAAAAGAGAGACGACATACACTTGGAGGCATAGAAACGGGAGAGGGCGGATAACGCAGGCAATTGAGGTCTATGGATCAGAAAAATTCTATTAGTATCATTCTCAATACAGATTGATCATGAAATGTTCAAGGTGAAGCCATACTGGACAGCGTCCTTGAATCTGTGAATAACCTGAGGCCGCCTCATGCAGAGGCCGCCTTTTGACAACATGGCGCTGGGAATGCGCATTCGGACAGCAGAGGCAACCATGGTGCCAAATGCTGTAGCTATGATACAATTAAAAGGACGCGGCACAAAAGAGAAGAGAAGATAAGATGGAGATGGTGCCGGAGGATGAGTCTGGCAAGTGGTAGGGCCTGTATCAGAGAGTTGGGGATGCAGCTCCTGGAACTTTTCTGTTGAGCTTCCGGTGAGCGATCGGAATAGTTCTCGCCGGGTTTCTCCAGGGCGGCCGTCCCCGAGTTACGTAAGCCCAGTGCCGCATCTCTGGCACGCGGCGGTCACCGTATATTTGTCCGCCTGCGGGAGAAAGACACGCAGCCGCATCAGCTCCAGGACCCATGCAATAGCGCGATACTCCGGCACACGGTTTCTATCTCCTTTCGTCATTTTTTCATTAGTCCGATTCTACGTTCCATGTGTATTTTTTGTTTCAGTTATTGAATGCTCCGCTCGGAGTTTCGCATAAATGGCGGATGTTGAGAATGGCTCTTCGCAGGAGCCCAATCGGACATCTGTGGTACTGCCGCAGGGAGACAACAAAGAGAATACTGTCGATACATCAACACCTGCTGAGACTGAAGATGTTGTCGAGCAAGACGCCAAGCCTTCTCTTCCTCTCGAATCACAGAGGCAGAAAATTGACATAGAGGAAGTTACAGACTCCAACTCACCGCAGGTCAAAGTAGACTCCACCGAAGTAACAGAGACCGCGGACAAACCTCCGAGTTCTCCGAACGACGCCGCTGATGCTGAAGGTCCCGAGAAGCACGGCTCGCCTCAGCCGGAATCAAAAGCAGACAATGTCGCTAGTTTGGGAAACGATCAGGCGGAGACTCCTCCAGGTGACTCTGCGGGCGACAAGCAGGACGGCGGCCATATACCCCAGTTTGAGCTTACACCAGATACCCGACTGCGCTCGGACTCAAGATCAACGACTGCTACGTATGCCACTCAGCGCTCCGTGACTGTCAGTTCTGCAGTGTTCATAGTCAACGCTCTCGAGACAATTGGGGCGTCCAAGGAAGCCAAGAAGAGCAAAGAACTAGATGATGCCGTAAAGAGCGCGTTGGCGAACGTTAAGCAATCAGACCGTCAGCCGATCGATCCCGACCTTATATTTCGCCCTCTTCAGCTTGCGACAAAGAGCTTCAGCATCCCCTTGCAAGTCACAGCGCTCGACTGTATCGGGAAGCTCATAACTTACTCTTACTTTGCCTTTCCATCATCTCAGGATCGCAAGGGCTCGGAAACAGAGGCCACGCCAGAACAGACTCCTCTCATCGAACAGGCAATCGACGCCATCTGTGATTGCTTCGAGAACGAAGCCACTCCCATTGAGATACAGCAACAAATTATCAAGTCACTTCTTGCGGCAGTCCTGAACGATAAGATTGTGGTACATGGAGCTGGTCTCCTAAAGGCTGTCCGCCAGATATACAACATCTTCATCTACTCCAAGTCTAATCAAAACCAACAGATTGCCCAAGGGTCATTGACACAGATGGTCAGCACAGTGTTCGACAGGGTTCGTGTGAGACTCGAGCTGAAAGAATTACGTTTGCGTGAAGGGGAAAAGGGACTTGAGAATACACCTGACGCTACGACAGCTGAAACGGATGAGGTGCCCCTGTCAACCGATCAGGATCAGGCATCCGACGCAGCCTCTGTGGTAGCACCCGATCAACCCGTCGCGAAGGAGCCTGGAGAAAAGCTCACTCTGCAGAGTTTCGAGTCAGGCAAAGATGTCACGTCGGTCGCGGATAACGCGCCCACAATGGTTACCCGCGCCAAGCTTGGCCAAAAAAGAACGCAGTCATTGTCTAGCACATCCGGGGAAGACAGGGAAGACGGCGACGGAACTACCGACGATGATGAGGACGAGATTTACATCAAAGACGCTTTCTTGGTATTTCGAGCTCTATGCAAACTGAGCCATAAAATCCTCAGCCACGAACAGCAACAAGATCTCAAATCTCAGAATATGAGATCCAAGTTGTTGTCCTTGCACCTCGTTCATTACCTCATCAACAACCATGTCGCGGTCTTCACCTCCCCGCTCCTAACCATCAGGAATAGCTCCAACAGCTCCGATGCTATGACGCTTCTTCAAGCTGTTCGGCCCCATCTGTGCCTCAGTCTGAGTCGAAACGGGTCGAGCTCAGTGCCCAGGATCTTCGAGGTTTGCTGCGAAATCTTCTGGCTCATGTTGAAACATATGAGAGTGATGATGAAGGTTTGTCCATGTGCTTATCCTCTTTGTCTGACTGGTTCTAACTCCTCACAGAAAGAGCTTGAGGTCTTCTTGAAAGAGATATACCTGGCTATTCTCGAAAAAAGGAACTCGCCTGCTTTTCAGAAGCAGTACTTTATGGAGCTTGTGGAGCGACTGGCCGATGATCCTCGTGCATTGGTGGAGATATA